TTAAAGCGGAAGAATTTAGTTGGTCATATTGCTTGGTGGGCTTTGAAGCTTTAAATATATGATTTTGATGTTGTTCATTGCTCGGGGAGTTTTATGGTTGATGCTGATGCCCTTTCTTGAGCTCCTCTTTCTTCTTCACTCTTTTCTTATGTTTTTGACAAGTCTATTGTTCCAACATTTGTGGATTTTCTAGACGAGGACTCTATACTATTTGCAGTTGCTGTACTTGATGTTCAGTGTCCACAAGATGCAGAGCAAGATCTACCTTCTTTTGATGAGGTTTGCGAGACTCAAAAGATTGAGTCATGGATTTGAAGGCTTTCATGTGGGTTTGAGAATTCTATATCAATTGCTAATGACTTTCCATTTCGACATTTACATTTTTAATATCGCCTTAAAGACATCCTTCTTTATTTTGTGGGGAGGGATCTTTATGATCCTTTATAGCTAGTGGTGCCTTCCTTCTTTATTCCACAGTTTCTCTATGCCTATTATGATTTTTCTGTTCTAAGTGGGCATATGGGACATCGTTGCATGACTGAGAAGCTTCGCAGGTTTTTCTATTAGCCGGAGATGCAACATGATGTTATCTGGTATATGCGTAGCTACGTTTTGTGCCAAACTCATAATACTCCCTTTTGTGCCGCAAAAGGACAGTTTGAGTCAATTGCAAATTCCCATCTATTTGAGTTGGTGGCATTTGATATTATGGGACCTTTTCCACAATCGACTGTCAGCAATGAATATGTTATTATTACTTCTGACTATTTGACTCATTGGGTGGAAGTTGGTGCTTTTGTTAGTGCCTCTATAATTGCTGTTAGATATTTCCTTCTCAATTGAGTGGTGTTCCAACATTCTTGTTTGGAGAAAATTCTTTGGATAATGGTCCCGCATTTATGGTTGAGGCATTTCATGTTTTAACGTTTTGGTTGGGGATACACCACACTTTCACAAGTGCTTATCATCCTTAATTAGACAGTTTGGTGTAATGGCTTGTTTGGATATTCAAAGGAATGATCATGAAGTACATGAACTTTTGGCATTCGGATTGGAATGGTTATTTGCCGTTTTTTTAGTATGTATATATTACAGGGGTGCAAAGTTTTGTTAGTGCTTCACCATATAAACTCTTATATGGTCATGATCCAATATTACCAATGGAACTGGATTTACCTTCATGATTGCCTTGAGATGCCGATGCTAAGTCGTGGGATTAGTACTTGACGAACATTCTTCCACTTATCCAAGCAAAGTCTGCCAAACACTTAGACCACGTACAAGTGGGACAACAATGGTGCTAAAACTTCCATCATTGTCCACCTACAGAGTACAAAATGGATGACTTGGTGTTAGTCTGTTTTACCCATCTTACAGTACATGGTTTATCTAAAGGGCTCCTTACTCAGTGGAAAGGACCATATCAAGTATTGCGGCAAGTTGGACTGCAAATTTATGAAGTTCAACATAATGTTTAGCAAGTTGACCCTTTAGAAATTGTGCATGTGCAATGGCTGTAATGCTTCATATAAAAGGATCAGGAATAATTGGCACCACCTACAGATCCACCAATGCCTCCTTTTGATGTTCCTCCAAATCTCAGCCCATCCACGAGAGAACTCTAATCTGATCTTGCTCCTAACATGGTAAGACTACTTGAAAGCATAGAATGCTATTATATTTGGTGTGAAATATACTACTTTTTTTTAGACAAGACAAATGGCTCCATAGGTCTACAAATATTACTTGAGCACTATAGTAATTGCTCAATTGTGAGTCTAGAAAATGTGTATGTATGGATGTACAATAGATTCAAAAATGAGTTATGGACACATACCCACTATTGCTTCATGGTGAGGCACAATATCCCTTTGAGAAACACTATATTAGCTAGTGTAAAATATAGGGCTTTTAGGCCACTTTATAGTAGAATGTAAGATCTAGGATTGTTTTCCTATACTATAATATTGTCTCTTTTAAAAGAAAAAAATATATAATGAAATGATATTAGTTGTAAGTAATATATCTTTTTCACCATATACTATAAGATTGGGAAAACAAATTTATAAATCTTCTACTTTATATTTTATAAGTGGATGATAATGAAAGTTATAGTGCAATTAATGGCTTCTTGCCCAATAGAAGGGATTGTATTGATTGTTACAAGTTGGACCACAAGTTGGATTATAAATTTATAAGATTCAACATGACATTCAACAAGTTAATCTTCTAAAATTATGTATGTGCACAAAAACAAGTTACACCACCTATAGTGCCTCTTTCTAATGTTCCTCTAGATCAACAAAAGAACTTTAACTCATATGCTATTATAAAAAGAAGAAAAACAATTTAGACATAAATGAAATGTGTAGGATATTTTCTTGGATCTCTGCTAACCATAGAAGCCCTATGGCTTGACCCCCAAGCCTCTCCAAAAACTTTAGATGTTGAGAATAGGATGATCATCAATTCCCAGCCCATGCCCTTTAGCTTATTATTCATCCTTTCTATAACTGTCACAAAATATTTCTAGGCTTATCATAGTGGCTGGACAATCATTTATTCAGATCCAGAAGAAAAACAAACAGAAATGAGATATATACATGTTAAAGAAATGGTTGCGAATGCTAACCACTTGCTTTCATAGGCCTTGGCCACAGCACTTGGCAAATACATCTATACTACAATATACATTCATTTATATATTATTTACAAGGTAAAAAGCATAAGACTGAACTAGCACTTGCCCAGCTGCCCAGTTAGCAAAATACTGTTTTGATTGTTATAATTTTATTATATTAAAAACTAAAATTGGAATAATATAAAAAAAATTGTATTCTACTTTGAAAGAAGAATTGAGGGAATTATGCCCAGTAAATGTTAGGTGAATACAAAATTCAATTCTTGCAAATTTGATAATATAAATATTTAGAACAAAATATATTCCTAGGCATAAGTAAGAATAAATATTCATTAATAAAAATATAAGATACAAAATATTATTTAGAAATATAAATATATTTAAAAAATAATCTACACAGAAAAAAGTAAAAATAAAATTTCTATTATTAATAATATGTTATATGTAAATTATATTTTTTACTTGGGATAAACTTATATTAAGATTTTATCAAACAAAAGAGAATAATTACTAAGAATAATTATTACTTATTTTTATTAGCAAGACATTATTTAATTATGTGGTTTACTTAGAATATTACTAACCAAATCCAGTCAAGAAAATAATTACTAACAAAATCTTTTGTACATATATATGCTATAGAAACTGTAATTCCATAGTATTATACAGTTAGGAAAAAGATTTTAAAATATTACTGCTTAATCAAATACTGCATACATTATTTTAGTTTTTTTGATAATGAGTTAGATTGTAAATAGTTAAGGTGACATATAAAAATATAATATGTACTCCTATTGTTGAAATTATTTTATTTTTTTATATTAGCACTTAAAGCTTTGATCATGATCCTACACATTCATAAAACTAAGTCAAGCTACATTTGATATACCATCACTTGGTGCTAGGTTTCATTTGTTATAGTGATATTTAAACAGGTCATACAGTTTTTTTATTATATTTATAAATGCTGTTAAATTAAATTATAAAAGTTAATTTTGACCTTAAATATTCAAAGATTATAATAATTTATAAAACAAAATAAGTTTATGTAAAGTCGATAATTTTATTAGTAAATCATTAAAAATAAAGCTGTTCACTTAAAGCTTCAGGGGTACTCACATTGTCAATGGTATTGCAGCATGGTGAGACAAACATGAATAGATACAGTAGTCGATCTCACTCTATATTTTGAATGGTGGTTAAGTACTGTCACATTCACACAGGTCATTAACAACAACAGAATAGGGACTCTGTCTACTTTGATAAGCCTGGAATTTTACGATCTTTGCACTATAACTTGAACCTGGTAGATCTAACTGGTTCTGAATGCGTTGCAAAAACAACAGCTTAGTTCGACTTAAGGCCAAGGGTCATTGTTATCAATAAACTCAGTGAGGGTCCAGGAAAGTCTTTAGCTTTCATCTTTTGGTCATACACCTACCTCCATGCCTGATACACAAGTCCATCTTTCCCTTGGCGGACTTCGTGTAGCCCAAAGTCTGGCACTGCCGTCCACCTCCATGAGCTTTGCAGTATGCAGTCCTCCCCTCGGCTCCCTTGCTACAGCCATCTTTCTGGCAGTGGCGACCACCACCGTGAGCAATGCACAGCCCCTAGGCTCCTTGAGTGCCCTTCCCACACCCTGTGAACTTGCAAGTTTTGGGAGCTTTGTTAGATCCGGCACCAGTCCTCATGTCGATGTCCAGGTCTGGATCGTTCTCGAAGTGAGAGTGATATTCTTCCTTCTGCGGGAGAGATGCCTGGGTCCGTAGCAAACCCGGCATGATGCTGCTGGTGCTGATCCAGCGAGCTGATGACAATCCCTCATCCACAACCTTCTTGATTCCTAGGAAGAGCCCACCATCCTTGTCCTGTAGAGAAGGTACTACGGATGCTGCAACACCTCACTCCACCTACTACGGATGCTGCAACACCTCGCTCCACTGCCAAGAGGATGATTGATCTTGCTCCAGTTGCCAGATCTTCCTCATGGCTTTTTGGGCTGCTACTGTTGCTTGAGTGATCTCAATGCCCAAACGACAGGTGCAGCCATGGTCAACACATTTGCATGTGACATGTGTCACTGGGCCTTCCTCTCTTGCCCCACACGGTTTGGCTACCTCCCATTGGCCGGGAGCAAACATCAGCATGATTATTTGCTAACACGTGGTTAAAGAAATAACCCTTTTACAATTACCCCCCATCGGCTGAGATTGGCTGGATCTGGCAGCCCAGAAAGTTCGGCAACTCTTCCTTATTGTGCAGCTGTGACATTTGCTGAATTTTATGTTAGCCACGTGGCAGAGGCTAAAGCCCAGGGCCATTATAGAACTCAAAACCACGGGAAGGGTTTAGGGTTTGCAGGGAAATGGATGAGGCGATCGAGACTCGCCAGGATTCTTTCCGCCGCCTACAAGCAGCAGGCTCGTCCACAGATCGATCAATGCTGGCAGAAACACAATGCAGCGCTTCTCCCGGCGATCAAGGCGTGCGGCAGTGCCCGGGATCTCGACAGCGCCAAAATCATCCACAGCAAGGCCCACTGTCTCCATCCATCGGATATTTTCGTGGCGAGCTCGCTAGTAAGCATGTATTCCAGGTGCCAGAGCATGGCCGACGCCCGTACGGTCTTCAATCAGATGCCCAGGCACGACACTGTTCTCTGGAACTCGCTGATGCTAGGGTTTGTGGAAACCGGCAGGTATTCCGAGCTGGTGCTGGAATCCTTTGCCCAGATGCAGCATCAAGGATGCCATCCAGACGCTAGAAGCTTTCTCGCTGCGATCAGGGCGTGCACCGCGCTGGCCATCCAAGATTCCCCTGGAAACAAGCTTCGATCGCTGGAAAGAGGGAAGAAGATCCATTTCCAGGCGGAAAGCTCCGGCTGTGGTGACAACGTTTTCGTCATCAACAGCTTGGTGGAGTTCTACGCAAAGTGTGGCAGCATGGATGATGCCTGGCGAGCTTTCCAGCGGATGCCATACGAGCTTAGCGTTTGCTGGAGCTCGTTGATACTTGGCTATGCCGAGAGTGGTGATGAGGAGCTAGCACTGGAAATCTTTTCGGGCATGAGCTTGGCACCCGAGTCTCGGACAATGGTAGCGGCTCTCAAGGCTTGCATGGGACTAGCTGCCAAAGAAGATGGATCCAAGGTCGGAGTGGATGCCAGGGTGGTAAAGACGAAAGCGCTTCAAAGAGGCGTGGCTCTACACTCGCAAGCCGTGAGCTGTGGGCTCGAGAAGGATGTGTACGTTGCGAGCACACTGGTGAGTATGTATTCCAAGTGTGGGAGCATGATCGATGCTTACAGGGTGTTTTGCAGGATGGATCAACACGATGCTGTGTCGTGGACAGCTTTGATGCTGGGGTACGTTGAGAATTCCGAGCCGGAGCTTGCTTTGGAGGTTTTCTCTCGGATGCAGAAGCAAGGCTCGTGTCGGCCCGATGCAACGGTTTACCTGGTTGCTCTCAAGGCTTGCGGTTCTCTTGCTGAGGAGCAAGAAGAAAAGGAGGAGCCTACGGGCGGGAGGAAAGTGAGAGTCGAGAGCTTGGAAAGGGGGATGGAAATTCATGCACAGGCTGCGAGAAATGGTGGATTCAATTCGGACGTGTTCGTGGCAAGCACTCTCGTAGACGTGTACTCGAAATGCGGGAGCTTGGTGGATGCTCGTCGGGTCTTCGATACAATGCCGTGCTACAACGTTGTGGCCTGGAACTCGCTGCTGATGGGATACGCAGAGAACGACGAAGCTGAGCTATGCCTGGAGCTGTTCTTCACGATGCGGAGGTACTGCCAGCCCGACTGCTTGACTTTCGTGGCTGCACTCAAGGCTTGCTCGAGTCTAGCGGAGAATGAGCTAGCAAAGGAGGTTGACGAGGAGATGACGAAGAAGCAGCAGCTCAAGTACCTGGACAAAGTCATGGCCGTGCACTCCATAGTAGTCGAGACGAGTGGCTCCGGGGACACAGGCATCTATGTCAGCAACACTCTGGTGGATGCTTACGCCAAGTCTGGGAGCATGGCGGATTCCCGTCGAGTGTTTGACAGGATGCGTCGGCACAGCGTGGTTTCCTGGACTGCTCTCCTGCTGGGCTACACTGAGAACAAGGAAGCGGAGCTGGCTCTCGAGATACTCCCGCTCATGTCCACTCAAGGATCATGTCTTCCAGACGCTCGGACCCTGGCAGCAGTTGTCACGGCGTGCACCCAGCTGGTGGACTTGGAACAGGGAAGAGCTATGCACGCGGAAGTTCTCAGGCTTGGATTCGAGACCGAGATCGTAACGGGGAACTGCCTGGTGGATCTTTACTCCAAGTCTGGGATCATGGAAAGAGCTCAGCGAGTATTCGACTCCATGGAAGTTTTGACGAGCCCCATCACCTGGACGTCGCTCATAGCAGGATACACTCGGTACAGCGACAGCGACCGGGTTTTCCAGATCTTTACCGAGATGCAAGAGCAGGGACTTCCAGCGTACGACGTTACTCTCATCTGCGTCCTCACGGCTTGCAGCCACGCCGGTCTGGTAGACGAAGGCACGAGGTTTTTCGAGAGGATTACATGTCCGAGCTTGGATCACTACCACTGCTACATCGACATTCTAAGCCGTGCCAACCGGCTGGACGCAGCGATGGCGGTGGTGAAGACCATGCCTTGGAAGGCGACGGCGGTAACGTGGAGGACGGTGCTCGGTGCGTGCCACAAGTGGAAGAATGTGGAAATTGGAAGGCTGGCTTTCGAGAAGCTGATCGAAGTTGATGGTGGCGACTTCGCAGGTTACACTTTGATGGGAAATATATATGGAGCTGCCGGGCTGTGGGAAGAGAAGCAGAGAGTGGAAGCGATCAAGCAACAAAACGCTGGTAATTGTTTTCAGCTCTGTGCTGCTTAATTATCTTTCACAGGGCACAGTGTTCTCAGGTTAGTCAGCACTGGAGCGTGAACTTCACAAGCTTCTCATCTCAAGGTATAGCTTGAAGTTTTTGTTTGCTTAATGGAACCCCGTTTGTGTATACATATTTGCAAGGAGGATGTATTGCGATCCATCTCTAGAGTCAATTTTGATGGTGTTTCCAGCAACAGCAGTACTGTTTCGAAGCAAGCTTCTCCATTCGAGAGCTTCGGGCACAAATGGACTACTTTGGATCAGCTCCTTTGCATCGTTTGTATGCCCCATACGAGCAAGCAGATCAATCAAGCAGCAGTAGTGTTGTCTTGTCACATTCAGGCCAAAATCCATTTCCAAGGACAGCAAAAGACACTTGCCAAGCTCAGCTTTGCCAATATGGCTGCAAGCTAGAAGAGCAAGCACAAAACAAGTCTCGTCTGGAAGCTCCAAGGATTTCATCTTGTCAAAAAGCTCCAGCGCTTCCGCCGTGAGAAGCTTGTTTGTGGCATATGCTGCAAGCATCACACTCCATGACACCAAGTTCTTGTCAGGCATCGAATTAAAGAACTTCTTTGCGGTTGTGATGCGAGAGTACTGTGTGTGTCCAGCCAGCATCGTCGTCCACGAAACAACGTTTCTTAGAGGCATGCTGTGAAACACTCTACTCGCATTTCCCATATGCCCGTTTGAGGCATATGTGGAAAGAAGAGCATTCCAGCATCCTAAGTCCTTGTCAACCAGCTCACAAAACAATGTTTCTGCCTCAAGAATATACCCGAAATGAGAGTATGTGGAAATCAGCGCTGTTGCCGCTATGCAGCTATGTTCAGGCATAGAGTCAAACATACACTTTGCCTGCTCAAGATGCCCGTTTTGAGTATATGCTGATAGCATGGCGTTCCACGTTGTGAGATTCCTTTCGGGCATGCCACTGAAACTTTTGACGGCTTCGGCTACTTTGCCATGCTGGGAATACGCTCCAATGAGGATATTCCAAGAGAACACGTCGTGCTGTGGCATTCTACGAAAGATTTCAAGAGATTGTTGGAGGCAATTGTGATGAGCATATGCCGATTCTATGGCGTTCCAAGTGATCACGTCTCTCTCCACTGCCAAATCAAACAAACGTCGTGCTTGATCCAATTCGCCAGCTTGAGAAAACGCAGTGATCATGGAGTTGTAAAGCACAAGATTCCATAATGGAAGCGAGTAAAAGACCTCTTTCGCTTTTTCAAAATACCCAAATTGGGTATATCCTGTAATAATAATGGTTGACGAAACTAGATCGCTTTCAGGCATGCTCTCGTAGACACTTGCAGCCTCTGCAACATAGCCTCCTTTGGCATACACATTCAGCATGGTCGTCCACGTCACCATGTCTCTCTGTGGTATGGTATCAAACACGCTCTTTGCAGATCCCATATGCCCGGCTTTGGCATATGCATCTAAGATGCTATTCCAGGAAATAATATCCCTTGCCTCCATAGACCCGAAAAATGATTCAACGCGTGGTATATTCCCGTGCTCGTTTATTATCGCTAGCATCGCATTTAACACTACAAGATCCCATGCGGGCATTGAGTGAAATATTCGCATTGACAAATCAAGATGCCCAGCTGCGGTATATGCTGCAAGCATCACGGTCCAGGCGACAAGGTTGTGACATGGCATACTGTCGAACAACCACGTGGCGCTATCGAGGCCGTCGGGTTCTTTTGTGTGGGCCGAGAGGAGGAGAACGTACGAGAAGATGTTTTTGGAGGAGGTGGAATCAAACACAGCTTTGGCGTGCTCGAGGCCTCCAGGAAACTTGGAATACATTTGGATCATTCTGTTACTCAGGAACACGTCCGGTAAATTCGGAGAGAGTTTGGCCTCGGTGGCTTTCGCCATGGGCAGCGTCGAGCAAGAATTGATGAGATCGACACATTGTCGTCGATCCATTCTCCATTCCAAAACTTACAGCAACTTTTCACCACAGAAATATTTCACTATATTACGGTAGAAAACTTACAGAGGAGGAAAAAATTCGTCATGGCTTTGTGGAAGAAGGATCGATTTTCCCAGTTCCAGGGTACCCTCCTCCGGTACCATGATCTGGAATGGTAGTTCCTTCCACAGATCCATCCCCAGTTCCACTTGAGCCAGTGAAAGTTCCGGGTAGACCCCCACCAATACCACCACCTAAGGCTGGAGTGCTTCCGCCATAGCCGGAACTTCCAGAGTATCCGCCGCCATTGTTGCCATAGCCAGGACCATTACTGTAAGTTCCACCATAGCCGGGATTGTTACCATAGCCACCACCATAGCCGGGATTTCCGCCATAGCCAGGATTGTTACCATAGCCTCCACTGTAACCGGGGTTGCCGCCACCATAGCCTCCACTATAGCCCGGTCCGCCATAACCGGGTCCTTTGCCACCATAGCCATAGCCTCCACCTCCACCTCCAGGAAACTTTCCTCCCCACTGGTGATGAAGCTCTGGAGTGAACTCTTTGTTGTCTCTCGATTCAACCATGACAAAGAAGAGGATGAGAAGGTAGCAGCAGGCAGCAAGCAATGTGGCTGCCATATGAATGAAAGAGTGGAGCACTTGGGGATTTTGATCGAGAGATCGGCTTATAAACTGGGTGGAACGCGTTGCCAGTCTCCAGCAGAGTGGGCATTAATGTTGTTCCTTGTGAGACTTTTTGCTCAGTTGTCATCTTAAATGGCCGCTCTTGCAGGCTGCCGGCGTTACGATTAGTCCTGATCGCTACTAATCAATATGCATCTATTGTTTATAATCTGGCATCAAGAAGCAAGAATGCAATGCAATGAGTTTTTTGCTGCATGTCTCTCCTTGCTACTGTTATGCTTGCAAATTTTTTTTTATGTTTTAATAATTGTTGTTGAATTTTATAAATTCAAATTATAATTAGTAGAATTTAATAAAATATGATTTATATATATTATCTTTACCCCTTAGCTTAAGTAATAAAGCTTAAAAATAAATATTAGTAATAATAAAGACTTTTACATCAGGAAATAAATAACTAGTTTTTAATGTTTTTTACCACATATTACTGTTCATCTAATAGAATATGCATTTAGTGAAACTTATCTTCTTTAATTCCTTTTCTATATCTCACCTTATTAATAATTACTTATATTAGTTACTTGAGGATTTTTTTTCTTTTTTTGGATATGTTAATTAAGTGTTTTCATAAAGTTGTTGATTTAGTATACATTGATTGAAAAACATGCATTTAAAAATTTTACACTTATGATATCTACTACTTATTGAGTAGTGTGATTGATAAATTTATAGCAAGCATATTAATAAAAATATATATATATTATAAATTAATATTAAAATAATTTGTTGCATTTTGTAGAAAAGCTTGATTTTCTTTGGAAAATTTAGAAAAATAAATAATAATATTATCTTAAATATTGTTTTTTATTTTAATAATATGTCAAATAATAATAATACAAAAAAAATCAATAGGCGATATTTTCAGGACTAGGAAATATTATAAACAAAAAAAAAGTGAGAAAAGAACATTTCAATAATTTAATTTAGACTAAATTTTTATTTAATGAATAAATATATAATAACGTAAATTTAAATCAGGTTTAAATATAATAATACAAGATATTCAACATAAGCTACTTGGTGGTGGGAATAAATTCTACAGCCACATTAGAGAAAGGTCATGTTATAAACATTAAGCAGTAAAGTAAAGACCAAAAGTCTAAGTGTGAGTTGTGATCTTTTTACTCTTGATCCACTCTCATTGTCTATAAAAACTCCCCAATGGAAATAGTCTAGAACTATATTAAAGAGTGTGGTTGAAGAAGGATGATATTCAAAACTATTTCAGTCTCAATGTGTGTGGGACCTTTAGAAATCTATCTAAGATGTAGTAAGGACGAATTTTGTAAACTATATCCACACCCTAATCCTCATCTGAAATTTACTTATTTATGAATAAACTTGATTAGAGAAAAGTTTAAGAGTATATTGGATTAAAGAAAATCCTATATTCCTGAATAGGCAAGTGGTTTCTAGACTAAAAATTTAACACCTAAAGAAAACACCCCACTAGAAGAGCTAGTTGTCCTAGAATTGAGAGATTTTGTAGATGAGGATTGTGTAGCATTGGGATAGAATTATATTATAATATTATATTATATTATATTTATAAAATATAGAAAATAGAATTATGTTATCAATACTTTAAAGTGTAAAACATGGTAAAAATCACTAAAATTATTTTTAGTTTGACTATATTTTAGGCAATAGAAATTATTGTAACATTATAAAATGAACTAGGACCTTTACATATCTAGCACATCTAAAATCATTTATCCTCAAGCAGCTTTCTCATTTATATGATATTATTGTACTTATAATAATAAATAGATAGATTCAGTATATTACTAACAGTCTTTTAATGTTCTTAGCAATTCTTTATATTGTGATTATTATAACTGATTGTGACAACAAAGGTGTGCATGTAATCAATTCAGTAGGCTCACCAGTTCAAGTAGAGTGTAGATCCGTATGTACAACTATGTTTTGGTGTCATGCTATATGGAATGAAAACTCTGTAGCAGATTGGACTTCATATGAATGTTGGTGGTCAAAGCCTACTTACTATTACATGGAAACTGAAATGTATGGTTGGCAGATGGAGGTGTATGACGCTTGTCATCCAAATCTAATAATTGTAAAAGGCAACTCTATAAGAAATACAAGTGGCATGCTATTGCTTAACTATATGATTGTAAATGAAACACTTGGAAGAACCTATATTTCATTTCTAGTATTCTTTAAAAAATATAGTGTTGTACTACTATTGTAGCAAGAGAGAGAAAAGGGAAAAGAGAAAAGGCGTACAAAACTTAAAAAATTATTATATTATAAACCATAAAAAATTTATATTATATTTATTTATAGCATATCTAAGCATTAAAATAATAATTTTTTAAATCAATTATATAGATAAGGTTAACATTAAGAAAAATACAAACTAAGTGTGTAGACAATACCTAAGAATTAGTTTAGTTTATATTACTTTTAAAATCTTAATATTCGGTTTAAACTTACCTCGGTGACAAGAAAAAAACTTGAAGTAGTTTGCAGTGTGAACAGTGTGATTAGCTTGCATCTTGCAAGATAGAAATGAGATAGAATATATTATCGTTTAAAAAATGGGATAGTGGAACATTAGATTAAGATAAAAATAAAGATTCTCGATTGAGGAAGACTTGAAGTAATCATTGTAAATCTTATATTAACTTTATTCTTTTGTTGTGGTTTCAATGGGATTTATTCGAGAGCAATGCTTTCAAGAAGAAAGAAGTAAAACCAGAGCTCCTTTACATTTTAAACTTAGCACAGTATTTGCCCGACAAGTAATATACACTATGGTTTCTGGAGATCATGATGAATGGATAAGTTCATATTCGTAAAGAAGGAGCGGAGCGTACAATAATTTTTTGATAAGAATTTTCTGAATAAGAACGGAAGAGTTGTTCCTCAAAGATTGATCAAGTTTTCATCATTCCTATTTCCGTACGGAGATCTCGTTCTGACCGATCAACCGTTCGTGGCAGAGAGAGAAATAAAAATGTGAGCCATGCCGTGGGGTTTTGCACATCACACCTGCATGAACAACCAAACCATAAATCTGACAGGCAAGTCCCATTTCCAACGCATGATTCGCTGCCACTTTTAACGTATTCCGTACATGGTCGATTCATGCCTTTTGATTTTTTCCAGGTCTTGTGTGAAGAAATGTATGATCGAAGGAAATGAAATTGAAAAAAAAAAATACACACCACCACAAAAGATTAAAACCCGGCAGTACTAGGCTCAAAATGCCGTACAATCGTGACACAGCTACGATCAAGACGAAGAGAACTATCCCTGTGTTGTGGAATTTTCTTCTTTATGGATCCAGATTTTTCCGGGAATCAAACTTTAAACTCGGTCGTATACCTGTTGCGAATCGACGTCATTGCTGGATGAATCATCTTCCAGAGACGAAGAGGAGGAGGAAGCGTTCTTCTTCTTCTTCCTCTTTGAGTTCTTCTCGTCTCGATCTCCTTTTTGTGCATCGCCATCCTCGTCACCTTCACTGGCAGACGAGGACCGATCGAGATCGAGCTTGTTCGTCACCTGGATCGGCTGAGCCAGATGCGTGGGCTTGTCCTGCCCCGCCAGGATGACTACAATCTTCTCGGGAGAAGCCGCAAATCCGTTGTGCAAGGCTTGCAAGCTCGCTGCCTTGGGATTCTCGGGATCGCTGCCTGGAGCCGAGGAAGAACCGGAAGAACCACCGGAGCCACCATTCGAATCGGAGAAGTAGCCCCGGAGATATGAGCACGCCAGGATCATAAGCGAGATGACGACGAGCAAAACCATGGCCGCGAGGCCGGCGAGCATGTACGGAAGTGGCGACTGGAAGCGGCATGGATTGTCACCGGCGTTGATCGTCTGCTTGTTGCAGCGAGAGTTGGCAGCGCCAGCTCGAGAGCTTGCGGCGCCGGCTCGAGAGTCTTCGAGGTAGAAGTTGTGATGGACGCTCGCACCTGGAAGAGGATTAGTAGTAGCACCAGCACCTTGAGATCTTGTCATCCTTTGGAGCGAAGAGAAAAGGGAGAGACTCAAGCTTGAGACGTGAGACACTCATGCAGGAATCCAGGAGATCATCGGCGAGCGTTTCCAGGCTCGAAGCAAGGGGTAAAGGAAGACGATGACTCTTTTGGAAAACCACACCTCTCGCTCTAGCGGAAAAGAATAAAACGCTCCACCTCGAGTGTGTGTGTACAGAGAGGGATAAAATCAAAACTCAAGCAGCGCAGCTACCCAGAAATATATTCTCTTCGTAACTGAACGAGCTTGTCTTGTAGCACTCCAACAACAAGGGAGACGAAAGAGGAGACTGATCACAAAAAAACAGAGCCTCTCTGCGAAGAAGAGGCTCAGCGACGAAGAAAGAAAGAAGAATCAAACTAGATCCCGACAATTAAGCACGCAACCGATGAGATCACACAGACGAGATAAAACCAAGATGAAGCAGCAGCACGAAAACGCTCTCGTCTACTCAAGAAGAAACGCAAAGCTAACTGGAAGAAGTAGAAGCGAGGTGTGTATAGAGAAATTGCCTGGGGTGGTGCTGGTGGTGGTGGAGCGATGATGATGTGAGGATGTATAATCCTCACAGCCAGACACCATTTTCTCTCTTTCCTTTTTTCCCTTTCCAGAACCACGACCACAGACACCTGCAAGGCGGATTTATATCCAGCAGCAACGCAACAACAGTGATCAGTATGATTACTCGAAACCAAAGCTGGAATTTGTCTGCTCAAGGGAGAAAAACTCACCTGTAGCTTTAGCTGGCTTTGCGAAGCTTGCTCGTCTTCATCTCTCGTCTCTTCGCAGTAGTTTAGAGCTTTCTCTCTCTCTCTCTCTCTCTATCTCTCTTTCAGCCTTCAAGCTTCAGACTCGAGATCGTGGAGGAGCATCTTACTTTGCTCCGCTTTGCTTTGCAACTTGGAAAGGGAGGAGGGAGGAGCCCACCCCCAAGTGTAGAGAAAGAAGTTCTATAACTCCCCCCATTCCCTGTGTGTGAAGCCGACAACTCCCCACTACTTATCCCACAATCCTTCCATACTCGTGCGCTAATCACCACCTTAACTTCTGCTCTTTCCCGCGACCATCGACTTCTCCGGAGGGATTCCTTCGCTGTAACGCTCTTTCCGTGTTCCTGAATATTCTGCCAATAGCGAAGTTCCTGCGAGAGGATCCTTCCAGTGTGTGCCGCCCACTCACCCGACCACCTCTACCACGTACGGAAAATCACAGTCTACGTACCCGGGTGTACCACGGCGGGCAATCATCAAGGAGCAAAAGGAACGCCAGACCCCACCAGCGAACGAGCACTGGTTCCCAGTTACTGCCTCATGATCACCCCAGAGATCAGCAATCCATTAGCTACTAAGCTAGAGCTACAAGAGCAAGAAAGAAAAGGAACAACGTACCCAGGATGTCTACATGATAGTTTATCGTGCAGCTGTGTGTAGTGGATAAAGCTGATATGATACAAATCACCTAAGTGCGCATCAAAGTGGCGGGGCCGATACTTGACCACGGGGAGACCGCCATGCCAGGCTTTGGCGTCTATCAAATGCTTCTTTTTCTGCCATAGAAATATGTGTAAGAGCTTTGGGAAACTTGACGAAGAGGAAAGTAAAGTACCTCGGCTGTTGCTGTTACAAAAGGTTGCTGTCTTCCTACTTTCTGTAGCTGGATCGAACCGAATCCAGAGCAGCTTCAGCTTGGGCCCATGCACTGCTCCGCTCTCGTCGGCCGGACAAAGATGGCGAATGTCGGGAAGAGTGGCGATCTCGGTCGCGGTCCCGGTCTCGGTCACGATCACGAGCGGGAGATTTTTCTCCAGGAGGTGTCAAGTAATCATCAGATCGAGACCTTCTCCTCCTACTGTCGGACAAGGATCTGTGCTGAGCCACCGCTTCTCTGGGGCTCCGAGACCAGAGTCTCTTGTCTGCGTCTTCTGGAATGGGTGCGTTGATGCCAGGGAACTCGACTGTCATCTTCTGGGACGTTGAGGATGGTGGCTTCGCTTCGATTATCTCTCCATCCTCCGTGAAAGATAAAGGATTGTCCTCTCCAAACATGATGAGTCCAGACGGTTCGTCCTCGTCTGTCTCGGTAGCTGGAAAGGAGGTACCGTTTTAAAAGAGCTATAAACTATCGTCAAAAGAGAGCATACCCATATATCCAGGAGGATAGCCGATTTCTCGCATTCGCTGAAGCCACGGAGGCGGGTCTTTCTCCTGCGCACAAGGAATAAGGATAAATCTTATCTAAAACCACGAAAACGTACTCCAATCCCCAGGGACCGTCTGGTTTCGCTCAGCAGCGACCCGGGTTTGATGTCGTCAAACTTCCCATTTGGAGTGCTCTCGTAGTAGCGGCGAGAAGGAGTGTTGGACCCTCCTTTTCTTGACATGAAAAGCTTACGAGCGCTGTTGATAGCAGACATATCCCGCTGTCTCTGGCAATCCCTGAGAGCATGGCTGTAGGAGCCGCAGTTAAAACACCTCGATGCCTCGTCCGGAATCTCCAAGTGCCTGTTTCGCCAAAATGAATCTGCCAAGCATGAGTCGTTACGACTAAAATCGTAACCAGCACTAATTTTTATACCCTTGATCCGAAAGAAACTCCAGAGGCTGCAAAACGGCACTACATCCACGATCATACAGAGGGACTTCCGTTTGTCTCTCTTCGAGAACACAAGCTCGTCTTGAGGGCTTGTCTTCCCAAAAGTTCTGCAGAGAATCGAACTTAAGTAAACTTCAAGGAAACGAAAACTTGAAACAAAAAAATTAACCATTTTAGTTTTCCCTACTGACAGAGCTGGGAAATACGTTTCCGTGCCGCCTTCTCGTACTTCATCATCTTCAAAGCTCTGTAGGAAATCCAACAAATTAGAGAGAGAGAGAAAAAATCCACATTTGGTTCGCTTACTTGTGCAGCATGCCATTCAGACCAATGCAGTAAAACCTCTTGCAGTTTCTTTTGGCTTTTCCTGCTCACAAACTCCTACATGAGAACGGCAGAAGAAAAGAAGGAAAAGACAAAAAAGAACCTCGAAAGTTTGGTGTAAGTCACTTGAACAGATGCTCCATCGTCCGCGCGTGAGATGGATTTTCTTTTCCGGGAGTTTGCTATAGCTCAAGTCAGGAATTCCGAAATAAAGATACCAAAACGCTCTAGAAAGGATACCTTGAGGCAATACTGGATCATCGGAACAATCCATATCCTCCTCGGAGGCCAAATCGATGATATCATCACAAGCTCCATCTTTCGCAGCATCCAACGATGCTATCTCCGATTCTATTGAATCGACTGTCGCGGCAGCAGTCTCGTGCCTCACAGCCACTTCCTCGACGCCAATCTCACCTTCTTCCGGTTCCGGGACCAAATCCATGAAGAACCCTAGAATAAGAACCCTAAATAGAAACTCCTTTTAAACATACTGTGGCCCTTTTGATTCTTCTAGAAACTATGCTTCTAGCATCTCCGATCTCCGCCAGATCCGCGACTAGCGATCTAATCCATGCCAAGCGATCCTTCCAGCACCAGTGGCGGCCGCGGCAGAGCGCATCGATCCAGAACGGATCGCGTCGGATTTCCCGGATTGCTGCTGCTGCTTCCCATTCGATCGTGGTAGCGAGCGATCCACACTTGGATGCGTGGAAGACGTGGTCAGTGCTGCTGGCATCGGGCGCATTTGGCCTCTGGTAAGATCCGCCGCCCTGGTCCCGACGAGTAGGGTTCTTAGGAAATATTTCACCAGGTCCGAGAGAAACACCAAATGGGGGAGCGCACTGAGCGGCGCGCTGGTAAGCACTCTCTTCGCGCTCTTTTCCAGCAATCTGGGGATCCTTGCCACGGAATCGTCAGTCTATGGCACTGTCAATGCCTTCTTGCTGCCTCTCGCGATTCCACTGCTGCTCTTCTCGGCGGACATGAAGCGTGTTCTCACTTCCACTGGTCGCCTCCTCCTCGTCTTCCTCCTTGGCTCAGGTACGCGATTCTTTCTTCTTTCAATGCTCTCTTACGATCTAAAAGAGAAAACGATTTGGTGGCAGTGGCAACGATCATAGGAACTTTGGTGGCCATGAAGCTCGTTCCATTGACAGGCCTGGGCACCGATGGATGGAAGATTGCTGCGGCGCTCATGAGCAGGCACATTGGTGGAGGTAAAGAAGAAAAAAAAAAGAGATTTTTCCTGCTTATTCTACTGCTGCTGCAGTCGATCGATCATATCGACTCGACTCGATGAATCGATCGTGGCTCCTGACTAGTTTACAGCCGTGAACTACGTTGCTGTCTCGGAGGCACTCGGAGCATCGCCGTCGGTGGTAGCATCCGGTCTCGCGGCTGACAACTTGATCTGTGCCGTGTACTTCACGACGCTCTTCGCACTGGCATCTTCCATTCCAGCCGAAGAAAAAACAGGTCTCGAGAATAGTTCATCGTTGTGTTCTCTAACTTTCTTCTTGATCCTTGCAGAGAGTTCTTCCGCAGCTACTTCTCCCGAAAGCAAGAACGAGAAAGCCGAGATCAAAGTGCTCGAGGCATCCTTTGCGCTGGCTATATCGGCCGGAGTGTGCTCGGCGGGAGTGTGGTGCTCCAACATTATCGGATATCGCAGTGGAAGCATGGCGGTGATCACAGCCCTGGCCGTGATCCTGGCAACGATGTTTCCATCACGTCTCGGCCCGCTGGTATCGACTGGCCAAGGCCTCGCTCTCCTCCTCATGCAGGTAAAGCAACCTTCCTCTCTCGATTACCATCGCTTTTTTTCGATCATCCCCAGGTTTTCTTCGCGACAGTGGGTGCCAGTGGGAGCATTCGCTCCGTGCTCGCCACCGCTCCATCGCTCTTCCTCTTCTGCGTCGTCCAGATTGGAGTCCATTTGCTCATCGTCCTGGGAGTCGGGAAGCTCCTGGGAGTGGAGAAGCGTTTGCTCCTGCTCGCTTCCAACGCCAACGTCGGCGGCCCCACGACCGCCGCTGGAATGGCCACCGCCAAAGGCTGGACGAGCTTGATCGTCCCGGGAATCCTCGCCGGCATCTTTGGCATCTCCATCGCTACCTTCCTCTCCATCGCGCTGGGCATCACCCTCCTCCAAAAGCTCTAAAGCTCACTAAGTCGCAGGTCAAACATGGTCAGACATGGTCAAGCCCGGAATATTCTCCCAGGCTTGGAATATTCGCCCTTCTTCCTCAGTGCTTGAGGAGGGCGTCGGCGTACCTCAAGAGAGGGTCGAGGCAGTCGGCATGGAACTTGCGCGCGAACATGAATCGCCCATCGCTCTCCTCCTGCAGCCCGTGGAGGAACCCTAGATCGATCTCCTCGGCGCGGTACATGGTGGGATGCCCATCGTTGTTCTCGGCCCATTTCACATTCGTGAGCGTGAATCCATGGCTCCCGGCTTGATCCTCGACCCTCATGACGGTCGAGAAGTAGTGCTCCTCGGTGTAGCACGAGGAGGCCGCGAATTCGGGCAGGCAGGGCGCCCGGAATTTGTTCCACAGCCGCCGCTCGCCCACCAGCAGTCGCGCGTGATCGCGGGTCACCACAAACCACTGCGATCCCACCGCGAATTCCCCGAATTGGAGCTCCGGAAGCATGGATCCCTCGCCGCGGGCGTTGTATCGCGACCAGAGGAGGTCCGATTGCGTGATGATCTCCAGGAAGCTCTTGCGCGGCGACGCTGCCAGTCGCTTGTGGAGCCTGTGGAACCCGTGGAGAGGGATGCAGCTGTCGGAGATCATGGCGAAGAATTGGTTCTCGGGATCGTCGACGAGCGCGTTTGCGAGGAGCCTTTTCATGGCCAGGACGAGCGATGGAGCTCCTCGCTCGGTCCTGTCGCTGGGGATCATCCGCCCCCAAAAGGCGCTGCTGCGATTGAATGCCCGGAACTGGAAGGGATCGGCGTGGACGTAGATGTTGTAGAGATCCTCGTGCCCGCGGAAGTATCGATTCCACAGCGGCTCGAATGGGATCGCCCCAGTCGTTAGGAAGAGAAACGCTACCTTGGAAACCGGCGGCGCGGCGGCGGCGGCGGTGGCGGCGTTGGCGGCGCTGGTGACACCCAAATCATTCTCGAATTTCTTGAAGATTTTATGACTCACACCCAACAATCTTGGCGAATGGATTTGCTCTGGCAGTGCGGTGGCGTTGTGCATCGCCATGGCGCGATCGAAGAGCTCCTCGTCGCTCCAGCTGTGGAGCAGCGACGTACCTCGATCGATCAAGAACATGCCGGCCGAAAAGCGGCGATTCTGGGCCAAATTCGAGCTCTTGGGCGCGGCCGCGAGGTTGAGGGAGGGCAAGCTACACTGGAAGTAGAGGATTAGAGGGATGAGCAGCAGCGCACAGGGAAGAAAGAGCCGGGAGAGCGCTGCCATAGCCATCGTTGACGAAAGCCCCATTTCCTCTTCCTCTATCGTTTGATCACGTCAAACGATGGCGATCGCATTTCCTGACGATCGGGAGCGAGGATTTCTCGCTTGGTCGACCAAATTCTTTTCTCCGCTAGACTTGCTGTTCATCGCAACCACCTATAGGTATGGTGCCAAACAGTGAACTGGCAAACCCTAAAAACGACGGGCTTCGCGTGGTGTGTGGTGGCGCGCGACAAAGTGTCACATGCAAGGACGGCCACGTGGCCGAATTAAAGAATACCGTTACTTGTTTACTAAATCCAGCTTTATTCCAGCTTTTTACCCTCCTTTTACCTACTTGGGTTAGGAATTTTCACGTTGCCATTTTACCATTTTACTTAAAGTATGATATTATAGTCGAAGGAGGGTAAGAGAAGATCTATTATGGGGGAAGCTGAGCGATCTACAAGAGGAAGAAGAAGAAGAAGACGAGGGTTTATAGAGGGAGCAATGCGACAGCGGCGGAAGATTTCGTGGCTTTTGTTCGAGAGAACCATGCGCCGCAGGGAGAAGAAGCTTTCCCGGCGGTTGTGGCAGATCATCCCCACGTCTTTTATGGGGGTTCTCGCTTCCTGATATGCACGAGCGCCGATGAGATCAACTCGACGCTACCTTTCAGCGTTTTCACGGATGGTTCTTTGCCTCCATGGAGAGAGATGGAGGTGTTAACACCCAGTTCTGGGAGAGGTGGTGACGAATGGTGACAATGCTGGAGCATCGCCACGGCATCTCTCCAAGCATTCTCATCCTCGGGATCGATGAAAGAGTCGTCCGCTACTCCTGGTCCTGGTAGCATAAACAAGCCCAGGCCGATATCGTGGGCTGGAGAGATTCGCAGCCTCTCAGGAGCCAGGCAATGATCGGGTCCCCGCCCCACTTCTGGCGATGCGCTCCAGCCCCCGCTCCATGCCTCCACCCTGTGCATTAAAACCACCTGGACCGTTTCCGGACCCGAGTTGAATCCCCCTGGACCGCTCCCAGGATTCCGCCAGGAGCGCTTCTGGCATTTGGATTAAATCCTCGTCCAAGTCGTCTCAAGCCGAGGAAATAAAGAAGAAAAGCGTGGTTCCCGTAGTCTTCATGGAGGATTTGTCAAGTGGGAGATGGGAAAGGTGCTTGTTTTGTCCTAGAAAAACTTTGATATATTAACATGGTTTCTTGTGTGCTGTGAAGAGGGACGATAGAAAAGATAGCATTGCTGTTCCGCTTGTAGAGCATCACGAAGTGGGATGATCTTCGGATTGTGATTTGTGTGGCTACTATAAAGCTTTGGAAGTTCTGAGTTGTGATTTTTATTTCTAGCGGCAGAAAGAAGAGGGCAGTACATCGGGCATGCAAGAGTCTGTCCAGACAAGTCCACTCCTACATTATCGAGCCAAGGTGATTTTCTCGCTCTCGATTTTCGACTTCCTGGCATATGTAAGTTTATATTCCCAAACAGGAAGTAGTGCCAAAGAGAATCACGGAGATGGAAGAAGCTTTGTCCAAACGCGATTTCTCTTCCTTTGCCAAGACGGACAGCAACCAGTTCCATGCAACTTGCCTCGACACCTCTCCACCATTTTTCTACATGAGCGATACCTCCAGAAGGATCATTGGACTCGTGGAGAGCTGGAACAAGCCCGAAGTCCTCAGGTATTTTTTTATTTAATCAGATTTCGTTACATTGATGTGAGAACATTCCAGGCAGAGTACACTTTGATGCTGGACCAAATGCAGTGATCTTTTTTCCCCAGAAATTTGGAGGAGCGTTGCTGCATCGTTTGCTCTACAAGTTTCCCCCGATCAAGGTAAAATTAATTTCTCTTTTTCTACGCTTAATACTTCTAAGGCGTGGTTTGCCACTATGTTGTTAGCACAGAGCTTTTGGAGGCTTTAGGCCCGGCAGGGAAGGGCGCTTATTTGTGTCAATATGTGTGTGTGTGTGTGTGTGTATTTACATACTTTACAATATAAAATAAATGATCACTTATAAAAGCCATTTTAAGAAACTATTATAAAGTGTACTTTTATAAAGTTAACTTCTTATTTATAAAAAGTTGTTAAAAATGCTTTTATTTTTCTGAAGTGTTAGCATACCTGCTGGAACCTGAAAGATCGTATTTGTTTTATTCTTCCTTTAAAAGATTATATGGTATTCTTAGGTTCTTCAAATTCAAGCTAAGTTATGAATTTTAATCATTCTCAATTTATAACGTGATATTGTGTAATATTGTAGAAAAATATTTTTAAATTCATATGTTTTAGCCTTAAACTCCATTGGTATATTAGGTTTAGCATCTATATTTAGCTAGAAGGGTCTGTTTCTTGCTAAGCATATTTAGCCGAACTCCTAGTTCTCTTTACTCTAACTTAATTTGTCAACTCTGTGATAGCTTGGGCACTCTTCCATAAAAGTATTGCATATAATTTTAAATATCTCTTTATAATTTGTATAGCACAAGATAGGATGAAAATTGAATCATTAGAACTTTAGAAGATAATGAGGATCAATAGTGTCATTAATCAATTTCCAATTTTATTAAATGAAATACACTAGCTAAATTCAATTTCATTACCAATGATTTTATAATAAGAAAGCAAATTGGCATTCTTGTTTTAATTACTACAATAGTAAGAAGATTGGTAGTTATTTAATTCATGATTAGACCTTCTTGTTGAGTATTAGTAAATTAGATTTAGAATTTGCCATTTGTACTAAGCCACATGAGGAAAAAAAATTCCTCAGTGTGTTTATTTATTCAAGTACTTACTATTTTTATCTAGAACTGTCATTATTATTTTGTATCATTTCTTACCTATAAAAACTAGATTTACCATTTGAGTAATATAATTCACTTGGATGCCTTCTGTTTATGGTTTGCTTTATGAGTTGAATCTTCCTTAGTCCCCCGCTATGTTAATATGGCTCAAAGAACGAAGATGAGCTTGAGAATTCTTTCTTGTTTTGTGTTGCATTGGCTTTCTTGTATTGTTGATATTGAGTATTACTTACTTAATATTGATAAACAGATGTAATATTTTTCCTTGCCAACTGGCAAGCATGCTGATAAAAATACAAAAATACAGTTTATGTTTAAATATTTGTTATTTTTTAAAACAATACAGAGTGATGATGGGGTTCCAGCTTGTCAGTGATCTGGAGGCAATCCCAACATGGAAGCTATCACATCTACTCAGAGCTGCAAACTCACCTTACCGCTCCATTTGCCTAGTTAGCAATCATCAGAGTCAGAGGCAATGACAGCAACAGCAGCAGGTCTTCTCTCTCTCTCTCTCTCTGCATTGGATTATAGTATATACTAGAATATTCAAATATATCCAATATCAAACCAAGAACTAAAAATTTTAAAAATTTCAAAACATGAAAACTAATATCAGGTCTTAATTTAACGTTTATTTGTCCATATTAACTTTTTATGAGTACTAGAAAAAGAATTTATTTCCATTATTTTTAATTGTTAAAACAGAAAATAATAGCCAATATTGGCTATAAACATTACTTTTCCAAAATATATTACTTTTATCATCAATTATAAGTAACTGACCATCACTTTGAAGGTGAAGATAACAAAATGTATCATGTTTAATGGACATAGTAGACCATATAGTTTTGTAATTTTTAACATCTTGAACTAGTAAATTACATTTTTTAAATTTTTCTTTAAATTCATTGTTTGTAGATATTAAAGCATTATTATTTATTATATGTGTACCAAGAAATTTTAAAGGACCACTTATCAATTGTGTGCAATATGGCCAACATTGTAAAATATCAT